TAATTGCCACAATTATTTGATTTGCTGTGTGTCCAAAGATGATTCCAGGTTAGCCCAATGATGAAAATCCTTGTCTTGATCATCAGGTTTTTTACATGATTGGATCCCAAATTGCCTTTTGACTCAATGACTTATTAATTTCACTCTGGTCACTCAGGTTTCCTCACTGTTCCTGGGCACATAAGCTTAACCTGACCCCTCTACTGTAACTTGTTGTTTTCAAGATTTAAAGAACCGGCAAGTTTATTGGCTCATGAACAAGAAGTCTAGAACACAGTGGGCTCAAATTTGGTGGATCCCAGTGGCTTGATCATGTCATCAAGGACCCAGGTTTTTTGGTCTTGTGGTTTTGTCATCCACAGCTTTGGCTTCATCTCTGGTCTAGTTTTTCAAGAAGTCAGAGAATATTTCCAATAGCAATTGGAGCTGGATGTTATCCTCCAGCTGGAGATGGAAAGGTGGAGTAACAGAATTTCTCACCAAAATTTTGGCAAACTTTTTCTTTTGTCTCCTTGACATTTATCTTGCTCATTTCTGAACCAATCACTGGGAAAAAGAATGGGCTGGTCACCTTTGACTGAGGCTAATCAAGCCCCATTCTTGGATTTGGGGACAACTCTCCAAACCATGGTCTTCCTACATCATAAAAGAAGGGAGGAACGCATCATCTCAATGAGCAAAACACCTCTTTTTGGCTTTTTATTTCTTCTTTTATCTTTTTTTACTGTGGCAAGATAGATACAACATACCATTTAAACCATTTTAAACTGTACAGTTCAGTGGCATTAACTATGATCACATTGTTATTCAGTTATCACCATCATCTATCTCAAGAACATTTTCCATCTTCCTGAACTCAAATTCCATACCCATTAAATAATAACTCCCATTCCCCCTCACCTCCCCTCCATATCCTGGCAACCACCATTCTGCTTCCTGTCCCTATGAACCTGACTACTCTAGGTACCTCATTTCTCATAAATGGAATCATACAGCATTTGTCCATTTGTGACTGGCTTATTTCACTTACCATAATGTCTTCAAGGTTCATCTATGTTCATCTATGTTGTAGCATACATTAGAACTTATTTTTAGGGCTGAATAATATTCCAATGCATTTATATACCACATTTTGTTTACCTATTCATCAGTTGATAGACATTTGGATTGTTTTAAGCTTTTGGCTACTGTGAATATTGCTGCTATGAACACAAGTGTACAGATATCTGTTTGAGTACCTGATTTCAATATTTTTGGGAGTATATACCTAGAAGTAGAATTGCTAAATCACATGGAAATTCTATTTTTATTTTTTGAGGAACCACCATACTGTTTTCCATAACAGCTGCACCATTTTACATTCCCATTTATCATGCACAAGAGTTTTGATTTCTTCATGTCTTGGTTAACACTTATTTTCTTTTTCTTTTTTTGATAGTAGCCATTCTAATGGGTATGTGGTGGTATCTCATTGTGATTTTGATTTGTATTTTCCTGATGATTGGTGATATCGTATACCTTTTTATGTGTTTATTGGCTATTTGTATATCTTTTTTGGAAAAATGTCTTTTCAAGTCCCTTGCCCACTTTTTAATATATTTTTTTGGTTGTGAGGTATAGGCATTCTATATATATGTTCTCTATATATTCTGTATATTAACTTCTTATCAGACACATTATTTGCAAATATTTTCTCCCACTCCATGGGTTGCCTTCTCACTCTGTTAACAGCATCCTCTGATGTGCAAAAGCTTTAGTTTTGATGTAGTTAAAGTTACCTGTTTTTTCTTCTGTTGCCTATCTTTTTCTTTTTCCTTCTGGGATGGAGACTTATTCTGTCGCCCAGGCTGGAGTGCAGAGGTGTGATCCTGGCTCACTGCAATCTCTACCTCCTGGGTTCAAGCAATTCTTCTGTCTCCGTCTCCAGAGTAGCTGAAACTAAAGGCATGTGCCACCATGCCTGGCTAATTTTTGTATTTTTAGTAGAAACCAGGTTTCACTGTGTTGGCCAGGCTAGTCTCTAACTCCTGACCTCAAGTAATCCACCCACCTTGCCCTCTCAAAATGCTGGGATTAACAGGCATGAGCCACTGCACCTAGCCTGTTACTTATATATTTTTTTGGTGTCCTTTTTCAATTGTTTGGAATCCTACTTAGCGCATTTCCTATTAAGCCTTTGCAGTCATCATTGAGAGCTCATCCTCTGTACTCCCACTAGTTTCTAAGCTGACTTAGCAATGACCTCCCATTTGAAGGGAGGTTGCAATGACTTATTTTGCAACCTCCCTTCAAATGGTAGGCCCTATGGTATCTCCCTTGAAAAGAGCTCACTTAATAAATCTAAATTTACAGAGTGACAGCAAATGCCATTTGCTCAGTTAATAGCTGATGGATGAACAGATGAATGAAGGAATGATGACTGAACACAGTGACACACAGACACATCTCTGTCCACTTGAGATAATTCTGACTCCTCAGGTAAGCCAATGTATGCAAGGTTCTGGGCATCTTCTGGTGGGCACAGGGAAACTGAGGATTGGATTGTTCTCTCCAGTATATTATGAAGTTGACCATTTAAGATGATGGGTCTCTGGGCCTGAGAATTACTTAATTTAAAAACAGATGAGAAGGTGGCACTTTTTTTTTTTTTTTGAGACGGAGTCTTGCTCTGTCACCTGGGCTGTAGTGCAGTGGCATGATCTCGGTTCAAGCAATTCCCTTGCCTCAGCCTACTGAGTAGCTGGGACTACAGGCACGTGGCACCACACCCGGCTAATTTTTTTGTTTTGTATTATAGTAGAGCCTGGGTTTCATCATGTTGGCCAGGATAGTCTCAATCTCCCCACCTTGTGATCCACCTGCCTCGGCCTTTCAAAGTTCTGGGATTACAGGCCTGAGCCACCGTGCCCTGCTGGGCCTTTTTAATCTACTTTCACTACATGTGAGGAGGGAAAAAAATAAATTGGTACTACTTACAAGGTTTCATAAAAGTTGATTTTAGTAGGTCTGTCCTCTCAGCTAGGCAGAGAACACTAGTATTCTCAGGTATACCAGAATTTAAGCAACAGGTGTGTTCCTAAAATTAACTAACTCATTTGTTTTATAATCATTTGCTCAGGACCCAACAATAATAATATCTAACTTTCAAGAGCTTATACTGTGTACATGTCAGGCACCATGCTAGGTGATTTAAAAGCATTATTTTTTTTCATTCCCTCAGAAATCACAGGATGATGTTATCCCAATGACAATGATGAGGAAACTGAGTCTTAAGGAAATGAAATACCCTGCCGTGGGTCATACATCTAGTAAGTGGCAGAGGTGGGATTCACACTCAGGCATTGCTTCTTCCTAGGGTGGATTCCTTATCCAGTATGCTGCCTGCTACGTGCTAGGTGCTACAGACACAAAGGTATGAAGCAGATATCACTGCCCAAGTGGAGTGCTAGAGACAGGCACAGGAGATTGGGGCAACATCAAGGAGGACCACCAATTCTTTGTAGGTGTTTAGTGAGCTGGGAAAGGCTTCTTCAGGAAGGAGATGTAAGATACAATAAATTCCTCTTCAAAGTTTAACCTGTTAACTTCCTTTAAAATTCAAGGGGAGAAAACTTTTTAAGTACAATGAGTTCTGAGATCCTCTTCAATGAACCAATATGTCAGTGTGTTCAGCTTCCCTGTTCTTTGTTCTCCATTTTAAAGTTTAACTTCCTCATTCTTTACCTTCCTTGCCCCTAGTTTCAGTAAACAATCTCCTCCCAGCCTCTGTCCTTAGGTATCCTTAGCCACCTGCTCTGTAACCATCCCTCCCGCCAAAACTACTCACTCCGCCACTCCGGCTGTACCCTTCCTCTCCTTAAAATAGCCAAGGCACCAGTGACTCATGCCTGTAATCCCAGCACCTTGGGAGGCCAAGATGGGCAGATCACAAGGTCGAGAGATTGAGAACATCCTGGCCAATATGGTGAAATCCCGTCTCTACTAAAAATACAAAAATTAGCTGGCCGTGATGGCACGTGCCTGTAGTCCCAGCTACTCGGGAGGCTGAGGCAGGAGAATTGCTTGAACTCGGGAGGCAGAGGTTGCAGTGAGCTGCACGCCATTGCATTCCAGCCTGGTTACAAACCGAGACTCTATTTGAAAATAATAATAACAAAAATAGCCAATCGAAATTAGCTTAGACTATGCAGTCCAACCCTAGCCAAGAGAGGAAAGACAAAGCAGTAAGGAATAAGACCCTCTATCCCTTCAGTGTGTTCTTGCCATTTACTCCATCTGCCAGATGCATCCTTCTACACAAGGAAATTGCCCTGCGGAGAAAACTTTTGCCTGAGTGCTATTTTCACTTTGCAGAACGGGGCATTTACTTCCAACAGAGGGTGAGCTGGGTCTTAGAGGAAAAGGAAGTTCTGGAAAAATAGAGTGGACACCCAGTTGTTCTGCCAGCCCAGCACCATGTCCGGGAATATCATCCCTCTTCTTTTGGGAACATTTCCACCACGAGATTCCTCCAGAATCTTACGAAATCCCTGATTCTGGTTGATTGGTTTAGGACTAGTCGCCAACCTAAACCAAGGCCAATCAATCCCAAACTCTGAACAAACATCCATCCTTACCTAGTGGTAGAAGTTGAAGAATGAAACCTGGGGGCTATTGGGAGCCGTTTCCCCAGTGATTTTCTTTTGGGATCAGGAGAAGACGTAAAGGGATGATACAGATCTAGTTATCTATAGAGATTTTAACAGGGCATATTGGATATGACTTCCATCCTGTTCCTGGCTTGGGCAGCCAGACGGGACTTGCAGGCTCTTGGAGGTCGCATCTTGTCCTTCCCCCTCCCACCACGCAGGTAGAGTGACTACAAGTCCCGGCATGCGCAGCGCTCGGAGCCGGGCGGGGGCGGGGCGGACCTCGGCGGTGACGTCACCGTCCCGGGGCGGGCCGGGGGAGGGCGGGGCGGCCGGGCGGCCGGGCGGCGGGGCGGGCCGGGAGGCTGCAGAGCGCGCTGGTGCTGATGCAGGATGGCTGAGCGCGCAGGAGCCCGGGAGGTCTGAGCCGGGCGAGGCTTGTTCCCTGCGCACCGCCTCGTCCGCCTGCCGCGTGGTCGCTGGCAGGTGGGCCGGGCGGCGCTGGGCAGGGCCGGGGCAGGGCCACGGCAGGCCGGTCTGCAGGCGTAGGGGCTGGAGCCGAGAGGCTGCCTACCTTCCCGGGCTCGGAGCGGCCGGGGCTGCCCAGCCGGCCGGGGTCGCGATGACCTGCTGAGAAGCGTCGTCGGAGGCTGCAGGAGGCGGCCTAGCTGTGGGCGGTGAGGCTCGCGGCCTCCTCCCCATCGTTCCCGGCCCCGGCCCCCCACCCATCCCCGCGCCCCCTCCCTACCGCCGGCCGAGATGGCGGATCCAGCCGAATGCAGCATCAAAGTGATGTGCCGGTTCCGGCCCCTCAACGAAGCGGAGATCCTCCGCGGGGACAAATTCATCCCCAAATTTAAAGGCGATGAGACCGTGGTGATCGGGGTAAGTGGCCGGGGCGTCCGCCTCCCCTACTGCTCCACGCCGCCGCCCGGCGCCCCGACGCCCCAGACGCAGCGGAGATGTTCAGGCCGCCCCCTCGGACATCCCCGCGGGACTGGCCTCTCTGGTGGACCTGGCCAAAGACCCCTAGACCCTCAGCCCTATGGTTCCCTCCTGGGTGGGTGGAGAGGCGGCAGGGGGCGGCGGGCCGGGCCAGGCGGCCGGGGTGGGGGTGGGGGGCGAGGACGGGCTCGGCGCCGCCATTGTTCGCGGGGTGGGGGCCCGGGTGGGCCCATTGTTCCCCACGCTCTACTCGCCGCGTGGGTAGTGTGTTCGGGTGACCCTGAAGCCGGGTGCCCAGGCCCCCTTTAAAGTGTGAGCTATGCAACCCGCAAATGCTTCGGGGCATCAATCAATTCGATTTACCAAAGAGATTTGCCTCTTCTTCTCACGACCTTAGCAAAAAAGAAAGAAAAAAAGAGTACTGTAAGAATTTTAGCCGCGTCTCGGAGCTCCCCGCGGCGTTTCACCTTGCTCCGCGCGCGGAAGGCGGAGGGTGGGGGGAGTACTGGTGGCCTCGGTGTCCCCAGGAGGCCTGGTGTGTCTCACGCCTGGCTGCCCTGGATGTGGAGTCGGGCTTGAATCCTCCCCTCTGGGATGACCTCCCTCCCATGTCTGCAGACCCTCGAATGCGCCTCACGCTGGGTGGAGACGAGGCTGTGTCCTCATCTGTGGGGCAAGGAGGCTCAGAGCGCAGCGAGATAACCCCTCTGTGCCAAGAGCAGAAGTTACTTCGTGCGGCTCGGACCCCCCTCCCTCTTGATCTCTCTTCCCCACCTTTTCTCCCCGACCCCCCTCCCCGACTTAGTTCCCTCTGTACCGCAGGGGCTGCTGGTGGGGGGAGGGAGCACCAATGGTTTTTAGTTCTTAAAGGAATCTGTCAAATGAAATACACCAGCTCTTCCCTGCCTGCTGTCCGCAGCGTGTGTGGCTGATGATGTCCCTTTGTATGCGAGCCGCGTGGGGAAGGACCGAGTTAATGGGAGCCTCCCGGTCCCCGCTGACACGTTCCTGGCAGCCTGCTCCAGGCTGCTGATGCAGCCTTCCCGTCCCCAGCATTGATTAAGTGATGTCATCCCGATCACTGAGCATGCTCCGACTAACCCCCTCCTCCCCTTCCCCCAGTGGCTGGTGTATTTAGGTCAAGTGATTGACAGGTGACAATTTACCGAGGGTATTGCCGGAGTCCGGCTGGCCTTTCTTAAGCACCAGAGGCTGACGTTTTCCAGCCCGGGCGGTCCCCAGCATCTTTGCCAAGGTTGTCTGCCGCAGTCCCTGAGAAGGGCCCTGGGGACCAGCAGGTACCAGCTGTACCGTAAGGCGGGCTCTGTCCACGCTAGAGGAGCCTGGGCAAGGCTCTGGTCTCAGGGCTTTTGACCAGTACCTCGCTTTAAAAGGCAGCTTCCCTTGAGGACCCTTTCTCCCTTCCCCATTTTCACAGTCATCAGGAAAGTCTGACCTCCAAACGCTATGTGGATGGGCGGTCATTCTGTGAGCTGACATTTAAGGGCAGGAAAGCAGGATTTTCTTTCTGCTTAGTGTTAAACTTGCAGAGAAGATATAAGCTACCATTGATGAGGAAGGAAATTCTGCAGTTAATGGTAGATAAGTGTTAGTGACATATACATGGACAGTACCTGGGGCAGATAGTGACTTGTTTGGTTTACAGCTCTCAGCCAGGATCTGCCTACAGCCTGATCTGCTACTTAGTGAGCCAGGTTGTGGTTTAGATGGAGTGGGAGTTACTGGGGACATCTAGTCCCTGCCCCTTGGCTTGTAACAATTTTCAAACAAATAATTGTGCAGTACTGGAACATGTTCTGGTGACCCTACTTTTTTCCCTGAGGTTTAGAAGATCCTGAAAAAGTTTTTCTTCTCCTCTCCTCTCTCCTCCTCCATTCCCTTTCCCCTCCCCCCCTCCCTTCTCCTCCCCTTCCTCCTCTCTTAGTACCAATGAAGTAATAAATAATCTTCTTTGACCTGTATGCAAAGCAGAGACCCTTAATTTTAGAATTATTCTTCTTTAATATTATGATATTGCTCTGAGTATATATTTATTTCCTTATCTAAGTATACATATATTATTGGCTAAATAAATTAAAGCCAAGTCACCATATTAAATAAGAAACTTAAATAAAAATTGTGGATGTGAATATACACATTGCTTTTCAACTGTAAAGTGATTTTTGCTCATCCTACTGTAATCCTTTATTACAATAGTTTTCAATTTTTTTAAGGTAAACTTTTTATTGAAATGAAGCATTCATATAGAAAAGTGTTACCATAAGTATACAGCTTGATGGCTTTTCACAAAGTAAATGCTCCCTATAACCATCTCACAGACTAAGAAACAGACATTTCAGGACCCCAGAAATCCCCCTGTGGCCCTTCCAGTCCCTAACTCCCCCTGCCTCAGGGTAACCACGATTCTGACTTCTGATGCTATATATTAATTTTGCTTGTTTAACTTTATATACATAAAACCATAGAGTATGTTCTCTTTTTTGTGTGGTTTCTTGCGATTAAGTGTTATGCTTGTCAAATTCATCCTCATTGTTTTGTAGTATTCCATGATACGAATATACTACAATTTGTCTACTGACTGTTGTTGAATATTTGGATAGTTTCCAGTTTGGAGCTAATATGGATAGTGCTGGTATGAACATTTGTTTACGTATCTTTTAGTGAGTGTATGTACAGAAAAGAAGACTGCCAGATACTAAAGGGTATTGGGGGTTGGGTTGGCATGTGCCAGGACCCTTCCTGTTCCTTAATTGATACTGTGGCACTAAAGGAAATGATGATTCTGGCAGTCTGTATCATGCCATGTACACTGAGTAGAATGGCCCCAAGTCAATTCAGTTGGAACCAGCTCACATGGTTCAGTTGCCGGTGAAGACTGCCTGAGATGTAGACAACCTTCCTTAATTCTAGGGGCACAGACTGGAGATGACCGAAGAAGCCCAGACTATCCAGAAATGTGTCACTTTCACACAAGTAAAGAATGAATTTTGGTGGAGTTATCTGTTAGTCCAAATTCAGATGCCAGAAATTCTTTGTGTTTTTGAAACTGGGGTCATATTTTCCCTTAAAGTTCTGTTTGTTATGGAGATATATTCCAAGAAAGAGATTTTACAGGTGGAGGTTCTAGATTTCTCTTTCATAAAAATGTCCTGTCTGGGAGAAATGATCTCTATCACTCTTGCAGTTTTTCAGATTTGTGCAAAGCTCTCTTTCCTTCACCACCCCAGCCACAATCTCTCCCCACTTTGAACTCTGATAGCATTTGTTTTGTGTATGATCTGCTCAATTTTTTGCCTTGGATTATTATTAGCTTTGGTCGTATATCTAATGACATTGTAAGCCATGTATAGAGACAAGGACCATGTATGTTTTGCTCCTTTATACTTCCCAGGGCTTTGTGCATAGAAGGTACGTAATAAATATTTATCAATCTCTTTGCGAATTCTGGAAATCTTTACTTTGTATATTTAACATAGTTTATAGACTTTTTATTGGCTGTAGGCTGCGGGGAGTAGTTAAAAAATAATTTTAAAGATAAGTGCTGTTTCTCTGAATGGGCCTGGTAAGCTAGCATATATAATGCTTAAAATGATATAAGAAAATTAGGAAAGAACTACATTGAGCTTTGGCAAAAGTTAGAAGAGCTAAAGACATTGATGGTGAGCTAGAAGTGGAGAGTGGGAGTGGGTAAGTGATTAGAAAAGAGGCTCCCTTCCATATCACATTAATTTTTCAGCAAAAATATTGGATTTACAGCATTTCTCAGAGTACTCCATTAGCTGCTAAAAATCCTGGTGAGTCATCCATTACTTTGGGCTCTGCCTATTGGTTTTGAAGCAACTGTATTTTATTTTATTTTTTTTTTTGGAGACAGAGTTTTGCTCTTGTTGCCCCGGCTGGAGTGCAATGGTGCAATCTCGGCTCACTGCAACCTCCTGCAACCTCTGCCTCCTGGGTTCAAGTAATTCTTCTGCCTCAGCCTCCTGAGTAGCTGGGATTACAGGTGCCCGCCACCACGCCTGGCTAGTTTTTGTTTTTTTAGTAGAGATAGCGTTTCACCACGTTGGCCAGGCTGGTCTTGAACTTCTAACCTCAGGTGATCCACCTGCCTTGGCCTCCCAAAGTGCTGGTATTACAGGAGTGAGCCACAGTGCCTGGCTGAAGCAACTGAATTGATGGAAGCTCTGACTTGGTGAGTTCTCAGTAAAGAACTTTGAAATGGACTTTCACACTTTACTTTCCTTTTATTGGGCTTTTCTGTTTGCAGTCTTGAGAAAGCAGGTCTGACTAAAGATGAGTGCTTCCTCCTGAGGCAACGTAAGTTATGGCCTAAGAGCCAGAGCAAAACATCAGCCACAAACCTGAGCTGGAAAGCGGCCTCACTCTTCAGAAGCTTAGATTCTTTCTTGGCAGTGGATGGATGGGGGAGGGGCCTGGACGGAGACCAAATTCAAGCCTGAGTTAGGACTTTAGAGATCAAATGAAGAAATACAGCTACGTCTTAAAACTTTTCTTTTTTCCACAGTAATGGTCTTCCAAAGCAATAACATTAAAACAGTTCTGTTTTTTCAAATTTACACACAGTAATACCACTTTTTTTTTTTTTTTTTTTTTTTTTTTTTTTTTTTATTTTTGAGATGGAGTCTCAATCTGTCACCTAGGCTGAAGTGCAGTGGTGTCATCCTGGCTCACTGCAACCTCTGCCTCCTGGGTCAAGCAATTCTCCTGTCTCAATCTCCCAAGTAGCTGGGATTACAGGCACGTGCCACCACACTTGGCTAATTTTTGTATTTTTAGTAGGGACGGGGGTTTCACCATGTTGGCCAGGCTGGTCTCGAACTCCTGACCTCATGTGATCCACCTGCCTTGGCCTCCCAAAGTGGTGGGATTACAGGCATGAGCCACTATGCCCAGCCAGTAATACCACTTTTTTGGTGTATAGTAGTTCTATGCTTTGGGCAAATACATAGAGATTTGTGACTACCTTGTATTAATTAGTTTTCTATTGCTGCCATAACAAGTTACTACAAACATAAGAGGCTTGACACAACACATTTATTTTATTTCACAGTTTTTATAGGTCAGAAATCCAGTAGGTTGGCTGATGTCTCTGAGTGTTTAGAATCACATAAAGCCACAATCAAGATATTGGCAGGGCCATGCTCTTTTCTGGAGTGTCTAGGGAAGGATTTATTTCTTTGCTCACCAGATGGGCGGCACTTTTCAGTTTCTCGTGGTTGTAGGACTGAGGGACCCATTTCCTTGCTGATTATACCTGGGGTATGTTCTCAGCTTCTAGAGGCTACTCTTGGGTCGTAGCTACTTGCCCTCCTTCTTCCATCTTCAAAGCCAGCAGCAGTGGGTTGAGGCCCCCTCTTCCAGGCATGCATGTCTCTGACTCTTCTTCCTCCTTCCACTTTTGGAGGCCCATATGGTTACACTGAGCTCCCCATCCGAATAATCTGAGATAATCTTCCTCCTTTAAGGTCATCTGATGAGCAACCTTAATTGTATCTGAAATTACATTTGTAAAGTTCCTTTTACCATGTAACATTAATTTATTCACAAATTCCAGGGATTAGGGTATGGATGTCTTTTTGGGGCTGTTATTCTGTCTACCACACACCACCATTATCAAGATTAAAAACAGTTTTATCACTCCAAAAAATAAATAAATAAAATAAGAGCCCTTATGCTTCTCTGGCAAGCACTTATCTGTCTTCCTGTCTATAATTTTGCCTTTTACAGATTGTCATAAAATAGAATTATACGTTATCTTTTTGAGTCTTGGTTATTACAGTTAAAAATTCTTTGAGATTTATTTATGTGTGTATATCACTAATTCATCTCTTTGTTTGCTTAGTAGTAGTCTATTGTACGGCTATACCATAGTTTATTTATCTATTCAGCTGTTGAAGGACATTTGGATTGTTTCCACTTTGGTATAATTATGAATAAAGCTGCTGTGAACCTTTGCATATAGGTTCTGTGTATGAATTTTTATTTCTCTTGGGTAAATATCTAGGAATGGGATTACTGGGTTGTAAAGTAACTACATATTTAACTCTATAAGAAACTGCCAAACTGTTTTCCAAAGTGGTTGTACCATTTTTCATTTCCATCTAAAAGCAGAATTTTAAACCAAAATAAGTTTATTTAGTCACTTTGTCTAAGTGCACTGTAGTCTAGTAGTGTCAGGGTGTATCAGTGCTTCATTCCTCTGTGCTCTAAATTCAGCGATGTTGATATCACCTGAAATGGATTAGTGATTTCCTTCACATGTACCCTGTGAAATCACAGACTGAGTGAACACCGCAGAGAGCTGTAATCTGGCATATGTCACCGGGGCCACTCACTATTCACAGTGGGCACACAGTCCGTGAATGGGGTGGGAAGAGGGAGCAGGAAAAGTGAGACAAAACCGAGTGTAGATTCACTAGCTAGCTGTTTTTTTTTCCAAGTTGCTTAGCTTTCCAGGGCATGAATTTTCTCATATTGAAAGTGCAGATAATAATTACTTATCTCACAGGGTCATTTGGACGAAATGAAGTGGTGAGACAGTGTCTGGCGCAGAGAAAATGCTCAAAAGATGCTAATTGCCTTCTATTCCCTTGGTGACTTTCCCCATATCAACATTAGCTTTTCCCCCCAAAATTACTGCCCTATTCTGGCTATTCCTTGAAAACCTTTCTTGTATTACCATTTCTTAGGCATTTGTTCACCCCATTCTCCTGGTTGGAGTAGCCACTGTTTTCATCTTATTTTTGGTATATCTAAACATCCTTGAAGGCAAAGCGCATGTTTCATTTAGTTCTAGACTATGTTAGCTATTCCTTTGTGATCATGCATGAGATGTGTGTGTGTGTGTGTGTGCGTGTGTGTATGTATCCTTCCCATGTAGCTTTTTCTTTTTTTAATTTAAATTTTCTTCTCCTTTACTGTAGTTGTATAGTTGCTTAGTAAATGTATCTTGACAGAAGGTTTCTGTTTTCCCCTTTCCCTGCCTGAAATCAAGACTCCATGAATGCCAATTTCTGCATTTCTGTAAATTACTTGTGTAGCACTGGAGACTTCCCTCTGCTTCCACTGGAGCTTGTCTGGCCCGACTCCCCCATTTAATAATGTTTTCCATTCTCGGCTCTTCTTCCCATTCACAGTCAGAAACCTCCCCCCACCTTTGATTTCCCTTTAGTCCTTTCTTACCTCAGGGTTCCCACCTGTGTCTACTTATTAAAAAAGCAAAAACAAATTGGCTACTCCCTAATGGTTTCTCTTGAGTTGAAAAAAATAAAGCCCCTTGACAGATCCAGTCTCATGTTACTTTTTCCCAGGTTTTTTTTCATGAAGTTCTAATATTGTGACTGAGAAAGTTCTCTCTGTAATCCATTTGCTGCGTGTCAACCACGCTCCTTTTTTTTTTTGTTCTTTTTTTTTTGACGGAGGTTTTCTCCCCCCTCCCCCGGCTGGAGTGCAATGGCGCGATCTCGGCTCATCGCAACCTCCGCCTCCTGGGTTCAGGCAATTCTCCTGCCTCAGCCTCCCGAGTAGCTGGGATTACAGGCACGCCCCACCATGCCCAGCTAGTTTTTTGTATTTTTAGTAGAGACGGGGTTTCACCATGTTGACCAGGATGGTCTCGATCTCTTGACCTCGTGATCCACCCGCCTCGGCCTCCCAAAGTGCTGGGATTATAGGCGTGAGCCACCGCGCCCGGCCTACCACGCTCCTTTTAGTAGGAATTGAGTCGTTTAGTTTGAGGTTGTTTGTAAATATCATAGAGAACTCTCGAGAAAATAATTTTAGATTCATCATAGTGTCTTCCTGGCATGGAACATGGGCGTGAGTCAGATAGCCTAGGATGAACTCTGAGCTCTGCCACTTCTTAGCTGTGAGAACTTGGGCAAATTCCTAAACCACACTGAGTTCTAGTTTCCTCGCCTGTAAAATAGAGATAACAACACTCTCCACTCTCCAGGGCTGTTGTGTGCTAAGCCCAGTGGATAGTCCACATCAGGCATCCAGTTAAGGCCCAGTAGTGGTTCATTCTCTGCATTGTTGTCCGATTGACTAATCTTGGGAAGGTGCAGACCCTTCAGAGTTTCCTCTGTGCCCTCAGGTTGGAAACCAGATGCTTCAGTGGGGCATTCCAGGGCCTCCATACTGCGGGTCTGCCTACTTCCTAGCCTTACCCCTCACCACATATTTGATCTGTGCTTCTGTTCCCCCTCAAAAAGATTAGGCTGCTCAATCCCCATCCCTTTCCCCTCAGCTGCTCACATCAATCCACATACCAGGGGTGACCATCCTCACCTGCATGGCCTGTGAGCTTTGGAAAAACCTCCACTCACCTTTAGACTCTCAGCCCACAATACTTCCACTGACACTTTTTCTGATGAGTCCCTCTCTCCCCCTCCTTCCAGCCAGGTGGAATCAGCCTCTTCCCATTAAGCATCACTGTACTTTGCTCTTCCCCAGTAATGCATTTCATTTATTTAGTAAATCTGTCCTTTCCTCCAATTAGGCTGAAACTTTGAGGGCAGGAAATTGTGTCCCATTTATTTCCATCTCCAATGTCTGGAACAGAGTAGTTGCTCAGTATAAGACATCTTTTGAAAAAAAGGAAAGGGTGCTGACCCTCCTTGGCTGTCAGTTAAAGGTTATTTGCTTACATTGTCACTTTGATCTCTGTCCAGCTCTGGCAATTTGTCTTTTCTCCTTTAGACATCTTTATGGTTTTGTTATTATTTTCTTAAAATAAATAGCTTCTTTTTGTGTATGTGAGGGTCCCAATATATTGCCTGTACAGTGAAAAAAATTTAGAACACGGAAAAAATCATAAAGAAGGTAAAAATTACATTTAATTTTACTAACCAGAAAATACCACAATTAACCTTTTATTGCATATTCCAGTTCTTTTCTATTCTTACAACACACTTTGTTTTAAAAAAAGATATTTTATAACATCTATTTTAAAACTGTTTTACTTAATAATATACTTACTAAACTAAATGCTGATGTCTGAAGTCTAGTGTACTATACATTTTCAGCATTTTAAAAGTGCATATAATTTCATTATATGCCTAACCAATACTTTATTTCCTACTAATGGACCTTTAGGTTTTCTGGGTTTATTTTTTTTCCCTATTATAAACAAAGGCTTGATAGAAACATTAGTCCATACACCTCCTCATGGACTTGCCCAGTTACTTTGTTAGAATACATTCCTAGAATTGAGATTACTGGGTAAAAGGATATACTAGATGGTTTTAAGACATCCACTGTAGTTTGTGAAGGGAGCAACTTAGAAATTGCAAATTGTCTTCTGTTTTGTAGTCCCACTTCTCTGCTCACCCTGTGGAACTGCTGCCAGTTTGTCTCATAAGGCATCCCTTCATATTCGAGCTAAATTAAATTCTTACTGAGGGTATGTGCTTCGTCATGCACTGTTAACCCCCAGGTCTGGAATGTGGCAATGCCTTCAGACTTTTAATGTAAACCGTAGGATTTTGTAGGCTGTCTGTTGTCAGTTTCAACATCCTAAAGGATGTTGTTTGTTGGAGGTGATCAAAAGCTAAATCTCTCTCTGGAGGCAGACAGAGATAGAGGCCAAGATTGTAGTCTTAGGGAAAAATAGGATGGATGGATGTATCCTTTCTTCTTGGTGCTCACATTGAATGGTCTGTGATATCTTCTGGGCAATGGTAAGCTGAGAAAGGAAAAAAGTAACCTCCTCAGAAAAGCCCTAGGCAGAGACTTGCTTTTTCTCTCCCCGCTTGATTCCTAGGTGCTCTTTTAGAAAACTTATTATATAAAATTTCAAACATGCCGCAAAGTAGAAAGAATAACAAAATGTACTCATCAACCAGTTTTAACCATGATCATCAGCAAATGGCCAATCTTATTTTTTGCACACTCTCCCACCTTTCTCCCCAACCTCGCTGGACTATTTTAAAGTGAAATCTTAACATCTCATATCTTTTGACCCACAGGCTTCAATATGTATCTCTTTACTTTTAACATAACTACAAGAATACTATTACATGTAAAATATTAACAATAATTCCTTACTATCAAATGCCCAGAAGATTCCCCCCATTGCTTTCTACCTTTCTTTTTGCAGTTGGTTTCTTCAAATCAGAAGGCTAGGTACTGTTGATTTCCAGTGAGGAGAAAGAAATGCTCATCCACGTCGACCTTGAAACAAGAGGAGCCTTTTGCCATGATAGACTTGTCTAGTGTAGAGTCAGGTGTGGTGGTACAAGAGTGCACGGGGCCATCAGGGCTAACAGATTCCCAGCCTGTCTTCCTTCACAATGCTCATGTCCATGTCCCAGTTATCCTTTGTAATCCACCAGTGCCAGTGTGGCAGGGTCACCTGGAAAGCTATTTAAAGAGCTTTCTGCTCTGTGGCCTTCTTCCTGCTGCTGCTTCACCTTGCCTTTGCTTGTTAAGCATCAGGGAAACAGGCAAATGCGTCTCATTTGTCTTCAGTACCCTCTCTTTTTTTTTTTTTTTTTTTTTCTTTTTTTTGAGAAAGAGTTTTGCTCTTTTTTCCCAGGGTGGTGCAATGGCGCGATCTCGGCTCACCGCAACCTCCGCCTCCTGGGTTCAGGCAATTCTCCTGCCTCAGCCTCCTGAGTAGCTGGGATTACAGGCACGCGCCACCATGCCCAGCTAATGTTTTTGTATTTTTAGTAGAGACGGGGTTTCACCATGTTGACCAGGATGGTCTCGATCTCTTGACCTCGTGATCCACCCGCCTCGGCCTCCCAAAGTGCTGGGATTACAGGCTTGAGCCACCGCGCCCGGCCAGTACCCTCTCTTATTAGATTGACGTCAACTACATTTGGAGCAATCCTCTTAAGTGTGTCCAGGTATATTGCATATGACCTTTTCCGTCAGTGCATAACCATACTTGATGTGAATTGAACGCTGGAAAATATGTCCGCAGAGCTGAAGGGAAAGCATATATGTGAGATCAGAATTCAGCACAACAGTGTACTTAAAGGAAAAAGGTTTGTAGTTCTCTTTTTATGTTTCATATCCCTTTTCTCATTAAAGGAAAACTTTTGAAGGGAGATGGAGCTGGAGGAAAGGTGCAAATAAAAAAGCAAACCCAGTAATTTATACCTTTAACATCTTTAGCTGCAGAGTATTTTTTTTTTTTTTAAATGGAGTTGCCCAAGCTGGAATGCAGTGTTGTGACCTGGGCTCACTGCAACCTCTGCCTCCTGGGTTCAAGCAATTCTCTTGCCTCAGCCTCTTGAGTAGCTGGGATTACAGGTATGTGGCTCCATACCCAGCTAATTTTTGTATTTTTAGTAGAGACAGGGTTTCACCATGTTAGCCAGGCTGGTCTCGAACTCCTGAACTTGTGATATGCCTGCCTCAGCCTCCCAGAGTGCTGGGATTACAGCCACTGCGCCCGGCCAGCTGAAGGGTATGTTCTTAAGAGCTGCAGATCACTAATATTATCTTAAAAGCATTTATTTGAAGATCTTGGTTACACAGTTCTGTATTGACGCATGGCAGAGACTCTTCCTTTGTCGGGCTTACTCTCTTGGTAGTCTCTCCCATTTCCAGGTCTCATTTTGCCTTATGAGGAAAGGCCGAGCAGTCGGCTTCAATTCTCTGAGGAGGTTATACCATAGTTTTTCTCGGAACGACCTGTCTGGCACCTCACTCCTAAGAGATTATTGATTTTCACCTGGGAATCTGGGCACAGAACAACTCCATCAATATTAGAAACTTTGGATAGTCATGGGGGAAGGGACTTCTGTTCCCCTTTCACAGCCATCTCTTGCCCCATAGACAAGGACAAATGCCAATTTGGTCAGTATTTCTTCCTGCATCTGCCCTCTGCGACAGGCTGACCACTGTAGGGTCTGGCTTCCTGGGATGGCTTCCAGGGACGACTTTTCTCTCTCCTCTCTGAATGCTGCTGAGGGGATAAGTTCAGCTTACTCCACAGATTCAGGCCCAACTGGGCTGGTCTTAAGGTTTAGAATAGGTAAGGCTGCAGAATGTTGGGTGGGAAGTAAGGAAATGGGAAGACCCCACATAACCCTCCTCACCTGGGACTTTGGCCAGGTCCGGTATTGGGGTGACGGGTGTGGGTGCCCTATCTAGGTGGTGCTTGGATACCTAGAGTGTCATTATTCTTGTGTAGATCAGACTTGCCCACCCAGCGGGAAAGAGGGGGCTGTAGGGGAGGCTTCTGGCACTCCTGGGTCCCTGATACCAATGTTATCATGATAGCATCAAATCCTTCTAACTACTCATTATTTGTTTGTATGAAACATGTTGTAAAGTCGACTTTAGAAGGGAAGGAAGTGTTTAGCTCTTCCAGGATAATTAATTACTTCACTAAAATATGCAACCTGCTAATGATCTGTCCAAACAAGCAGGAGAAATAACACCCAGACTACCCTAGGATATATCCTAGAATAACAGCCTTGCTTGCTCATGTGTTTGTTAAAATTTTCTTGATAAATATGGCTCTTGGTAAAGATTGGCTTGAGTATCTGCTTGAAACAATATTTTCTGTTCTAGACATTTATCCAAAAGAGTTTGAAAGGGGGAAAACACACACCTGTTTGATAGCTACTTCCTTAGTAATATTGTGCTGTCCAAATGGTAGCTGTGCATGACTACTGGGCACCCGTCACGTAGGTAGTCAAATTGGGATGAGCAGTAGGTATAAAATATTCATCAAATTTTAAAGACTTAGTACACAAAAAGTAAAATATTTTACTAATATTTTAAAATATTCATTACATGTTGAAATGATAATATTTTGGATGTGTTATGTTAAATAGCTTAATAAAATGAATTTCACTTCTTTTTACTTCTTTTAATGTGGCTACTAGAAAGTTTAAAGTTACATGTGTGGCTCACATTTGTGCCTGGCATGTATTTCTCTTGGACAGCACGACTCTAACATTTAGAGGTGACATTCTGATTTTTTTTTTTGTGTTTATTAATTTCAGTTTCACTTTGATACATGGAGGATGTAGTATGTGCTGAGCTCAGTACTAAGCATCATGGATTTACTATGATAAGTAAGACAAAGATCCCTGCCATCAGTAACCTAAGTCCAATGTGGGGAAAGCAAGTTAAAAAAATCACTTGGCCTGTAGTCCCAGTTACTCAGGAGGCTGAGGCAGGAGAATCAATTGAATCCGGAAGGTGGAGGTCGGTCACAATGAGCCAAGATCCTGCCACTGCACTCCAGCCTGGTGACAGAGCGAGACTCTGTCTCACAAAAAAGAAAAAAAAAAAAAAAAAGAAAAAGAAAAAGAAAGAAAGGAAACAATGGCTTGATATCAGTGCCCAGAGACAAGGGGAAAGAAGACATGAGGGGAGCCAAAGTAGAGAAACACATTCCATTCTGTTCAGGGAAACCTCCGACAGAGGGACAATTTGATTCTTACTTTGAAGCTGGGGCAGGAATCTGTTTAGAAAATGTAAAATTTGAAAATGTAAAATTTGCTTTTTTTTTTTTTTTTTTTTTTAGATTCAATTTCCGTTTTCTATGCAGGGGGTACACGTGCAGGTTTGTTACTTGGGTATCTTGCACCCAAGCAGGAGCATAGTACCCAGTAGGCAGTTTTTCACCCCACACCCCTTTCCCGCCCTCCCCGCGCTAGTAATCCGCTTAGGTTACTTTGCAGTTCTCTATAGCTCTTTACATGTTTGCGTTTTGAATTTTGTTGAGGACAGATGCGAGAACGAATGTGTGTTGGAGGCTGCCCCCACCCCGCCCCCATCACTACCCCTTCCCCTGCAGCAAGGCCTGCGACCCCGCGGGTGTCCGCGGAGCACTGTAGCAATTTAAGTTCGTGCAAGCTGTTTGCGGCAGCGGGTTTGGGATGCATTAGTAGTGGGTGACATTGAGAATGCCCAGAGGCGACGGGGCGCCTGGTCTCTGAGAGGTGGCACGCTGCCTACCGCCCTGGTGCCTGGCTCCCCCTGAAGGGTCCCCCAGCCGCCGGCCTGGGAACGCACCGCAGGCCCGCGGCTCCTCGGGGGTCGCCTCCGCGGGCGGCCTGTTTCCAATTTCCAGGCGAGGAGCGACGCAGTGATGCAAATCTGCCACTTACCTTCTGTCACCATTCTGTCGCTAGCGCTCGGAATGATGAAACCTCCTGTTCTGGAAATGCATTCCCCTTTAGCACCAGCGCCTTCTAATGAGGTCCCTCCGCCCCGCGGGACAAAAGCGCCCATTAGGAGGCCTGGTGGTGGGAGGTGGCCACTCCGTTTGGCGCCTCGAGGGAAACCGCCTTTGTCACTCACAGGTGCCTCTTTTTGTTCTGGCCTCTGCTTGTGGAAGAGGTCGCCTTGCAGGTGAAGGCCACACAGCTCTTCGGAGAAGGAGCCTGATTCTGTGCTGAAAAATCTCTCTTCTCAACCCCCACTCAGGTTTCTGTTGTCCGGGTTGGCACAGAATTGATTTTTCCTCCTTTGTAAATGACAAAAACGCTGTGATGGTAACATGAAAGCAAGCAACAAATCTTCCCACCCAACAGCTTTCATTTTATTTTTTCTATCCTCCTTTTTCTCCTGGTTGGTGCTTAATATTAGAAAAAAAAAAAAAATCCAACCGTAGATATACAGTTCTGCCTTTTTACCTAAATATATTACTCCATAAACAGTTTCCATGTTGTGTAATATCTTCATGTTTCTACTTTTCAGTGACTACTTAAATGTCCTGTGGGCTGATAGGTCACAGGTTGCTAACCCATCTCATCATAATGCATTGGGATCTCCATTTTCCCTTTCTCTAGGTGATGGGTTAATGAGCATCTGCATGCACAGAGCTGTGTTCTTTTGTTGAATTATTTCTGGAGGATAAATTCTCTAGAAGCAGATTTCCTAGGCCCAATGCTGTGAACATTTTAATTTGATTCTATGAAATATTATCCTATTGCTTTCCATACAGGGTCTACTAATTCCCATGACCACCAGGGATGTATGAGTGTCCCATCTGGTGGTTAATTCATTTTTGAAATAAAGGAGATTTTGAAATCTTTTCATTTTTGAAAAGATTTGGAGAGCAATGGTCTGGGATTCATGTATCTTAGAGATTTTTTTAAATCCTGTTTTTCCTCTGATATATATTAATTGTAAACTAATTGTATAACTATTTAGCAAACTATTTTAACTTGGAATATTGTTGCCAGTCAGCACTCCAGGGGTCAGGCTGGTGGGCAGGGAGTCCCTTGGGCTATATAGAGGGAGGAAGGACTTGGAGGGGTTAATGTACTCCACTCCTCAACATCCATCAACTGGCAGAGGAGTTGGTTGGAGATGGTGATTTACATTTGGGACTAACTCAGGGCTCTTCTCATATTCTCACAGATGTAATTATTTCTGCTGTTGCATTGGATGAGCTTCAGATCTTTGGTATACTAATAGCAGCACCCATGGGGATCCATTTCACTAGATGATCTGGCACTATGTTTGACTGCTTCTGGTAGGAATTCATCCTTCTTCTGGGAGGTGTGGTGACACCACTCACAAGACATTACTTCATGCTTTGATGGTTATGTGCACGCAGGGATCCGCACGTCTTTAGTTCTAGTAGAGCTCAGCCACCAGACACATCATCCTGTGGGCTCACTGGCAAGCCTGGGGCTGGGAAAGGAGAACCTGAGTAAGGTAAACAAAAGGAAAGGCAGTATGAGGAGGAAATTGGGGTAGAAAAAGAGAAGAAATGAATTCTGTGGGCCCCCTTTCTGAGTATATTTGTTCTCATATCTTACCATAGAAGACATGACATGTTTCCTTTTCTACAAAATTGACTTTGAGTACAAAATGCTGCTCATTAATGCATAGTCACTCAAACACAGAGGTCCTTTCTGGTGCCTTAACTATCATGCTGAGTATCATTTACTTAAGAAACTAACTGGTTTGTGAAAATTTTACTTGTAATGCTGTTATACTACTTATAAGCTAAAATAATAGTTTTAAAAATGTTTAAATAAAGACACTTTTTTGTATACAACTTAAAGAACATGCAAGGTGTAAAGAGAAAAGGAAAGATGGAATAAGAGTTTCTGCAGGGGAGAGAAGGTATTCAAGATAATTACTGTGCCAGCCTGGGAAATATAGCAAGGCCCTGCCTCTACAAAATAGTTTAAAAAAATTAGCCAGGTATGGTCACGCATACCTGTAGCACCAGCTCCTTGGGAGGCTAAAGCAGGAGGATCGCTTGAGCCTAGGATTTGGAGGCTGCAGTTAGCTACAATTGCACTACTGCCCTTCTGCCTGGGCAACAGAGCAAGAGCTTGACTCTAAAATAAAAGAGCTGTGGTCACTGTGTATGAAAGGACAAGGAAGCATGTGAGCCATTTTTGAGAGAACTGAATATAGAGGAGCCAGTAAGGTGGCTGGAAAGAAGGGGATTGGATGTGGAGGGGCTTGAAAGAGGGCTAGAGGAATTGAAACTTGGTTTAATTGACTTGGTATTCTGCTCTATCCTATAGCTGAATCAGAAATACTCCCATGTGACATTTCTTCTTAAATGTTGTATTACTGCCCTTCTCATAGACCTTTATGGACCTATTTCATGAAGAGCAATTTTCCTCTTACATCAACAAAGTCATATTCTTACTCACTTGCAAAATATTGTAATTCTAACAGTGTAGTGACAACACTTAAATAAGAGGTTTACATATATGAAATCATTCATTTTATCTCTATTATTTATTTATTTATTTTTTATTATTTTGAGACAGAGTCTTACTCTTGTTGCCCAGGCTGGAGTGCAGTGGTGTGATCTCTGCTCACTGCAACCTCCACCTTCCGGGTTCAAGCGATTCTCCAGCCTCAGCCTCCCAAGTAGCTAGGATTACAGGCATGCACCACTATGTCTGGGTAATTTTGTATTTTTAGTAGAGATGCGGTTTCACTATGTTCAGGTCAGGCTGGTCTCAAACTCCTGACCTCAGGTGATCCATCCTCCTTGGCCTCCAAAAGTACTGGGATTATAGGCGTGAGCCATTGCATCATTTATTTTAATCTTTAATATAACCCTATGAAGTAACTGCTCTTGTCATATCCCCTCTTGCCATTCTGCAAATGAGGAAACTTGGGTATAGGGAGGTTAAGTAAGTTGCTGAAGGTCCCAGAAGAGTAAGTTGTGGCTCTGGGATTCAAACCAACACAGTGGGCTCCAGCATCCTTCCTTTTAGCCATTTGTTATGTTGCACCTAAATTTTGGTTCATACCAGGAATTGAGAATGTTTGAGCACACAGCATTTTCTAAACTAGAGTTTCTCTGAGGCACTAGTTCTTTGAGATGTAACCTGATAAAAGGATTTGATGTCAATCAAGTGTGACAAGTGTTGTTCTCATTCTCTGCCTCTTGGAGCCTTCCTTTTGGAATCAGCAATCCTGCAGTAAATGAAATAAGCGTACCTAGCTTTGTTGTTCCCATTAGCAACCTGTTAGACTGAGACAGAAGTTTGGAAACTACTATAGGAGAAGACAGCTTTAAACCTGGGCTAGACTTAACAGTGGAAGAATTTTTTTCGCCTCTGTTGCTTGCTCTTGCATTGATCTCGAATTATGTATGAAGGCAGAATTGGCTTCTCTGTTATGCTGTGATGTCCATCTCAAAGGCTGTTTAGGACCTTGGGTAGAACACAGTGCCATTCCTCTCAGGGTTGGATGCATATGCTTGGAAACCTCTTAGGCTACACTCTGAATGTTTAGATGTACTATTAATCTACATGTAGCTGTCCACAGAGAAAGGATTATGATCCTTTTCTCATAAAAACCTTTATTTACTCTGTTCTTCTCTGCCTTAAAAGTGGAGAGATTTATGTCTGCTTCTTGGATGTCTAATTCCATCTGCTCATTCAGCCAGACTGCTAAACTGTTTTCTAAAAATTTTTTGGTAGCTTTTGAAAGATACATCATGAAGATAATTTTATCTTCTTCAAATAATGACAGTTTTGTTTCCTTCTTCCCAGACATAGACTTTTAATTTCTTTTTTCTTGTCTTGCTGCATTGGATTGGACCTGCAGGACAGTCTAAAATAGTCAGTGATTCTCAGAATCTTTGTCTTGTTCTTGATCTTAAAACAAGGTGTGCTGTACAGTTTTAGTAAATATTTATTGTTGAGGTAAGAAAGTATAGTCTATACCTGGTTTGTTTTGTTTTTAATCATGAATGGGTCCTGAAGACCTCAATTGGCTCTTTCTTAAATTGCAATAGTTTTGGAAAACAATTCCCTGTTTCCTTTCTACCCTTTGGTGTCTTTCGAACACTGTTGCTAAACTGTTCTTTCCAAAGTGCCACTCAGATTATGCCAGTTCTCTGCTCAAAAACATTTAAGTCTTCTCCTTTGCTCACTAAAATAAGTTTGAACTCTTCAACTTGTTTTCTGTCATTCAGCAAACCCCTCCACACTACGTTGCCTTTAGCCTTTTGCCTTGATCACTCTACTTTGCGTCAGGACTCTGCCTTTCTCAAATCTAACTATCCACTGTATCCTAAACTCAGTCTGCATGTTCACTTGTCCAAGCCTTTGTGGATGAGGTTCCCTCTTCTTGGAGTGCCATTCCCACCTATCTGTGCCTCTAAATTTGTTCTCACCCTAGAAAGTCACAGTGAGGTATTTTCATTTCTCTTTAGTCCCTTCCTCCTTGGAATTATCCACTTGGAATATGAGCTCCTCTCAGGTCAGGGTTTGCTTGATTAATTTTCATATTCTCAGCACACGATTCTGAATGGGTATGCATAATACATGATGGAATGAATGAATGAATATTTCTTGTGGCACTTACGTTCTCATTTTCATGATTATTTTTAGTCTCATTACCTCCCTACCTCCCATTGTCGGTTCCACCTGAGGACTAAAGAAGCTGCCCACATATTGCTTTTGTGCAATTCACTGTATTTGGACCAAACTGCAAATGTAGGCATTTCTTAGGAGAGCAGAATTCATTTATCTTACATTCAAGCAACTCACTGTTTAGTAGAGGAGACAGATGGAGAGAAACACATACACACACACACACGCGCGAACACACACACACACACACACACACACACACACATACACACACAGAATACAGTACCACTGACAAGTGATTGAATAGTGCTCAAGGATTATGAAGCATGAAACACCTTAAGGGTGGGGCAAAGTGATTTTGGAGAGGTTTCATAGTAGTTTGCAAAGTGGTTTCATTTTCCACAGAATAAAAATAGTTCTGTATTGAGTATCCAAACTCCATTATCTTCTATTTAGTTATCCAGTTGGCAGTGCCAAAAGGAAGGAAATTATAGATTCACTAAGTAAAGAAAATGATTGCCTTGAAATGATTTCTTCTTCTACCAAAATGTAGAAGCCACACATACAAAACACCTTTCTCTTTTTGCAACTTGCTAGTCATAAAATTATTTTAATGTGAACTGAAAGCTGGCATCATAAAGAAAGAAAGGTCCAAGAAGTTAAAACTGAAGACATTAATATAAATGAACCACACTTAAAATTCTATTGATAGTCCTCAGCTCTGAAAGGGAAATGTCTATAATTTACCTAAATTGCCTTGAAATGAAAAGAAATAAGAGACTTCCTTCCTTGGATGTCTGTTTCCTGGCATTTTTCTTATAACCAGGCTATAGAGTGATTGAATTATTATTACAACCCTGTAGCGATTATTTTCATTTCAAGAGTACAGGTTAATTTCAGCCGAATATTTCAAATAAGTTTAATGCAATATATATAATAAATCAATGCTGCGCCATATAGTCTAAGGATCAAAATTACTTTAGATCAACCAATGCATTTTTCTTAAGGATGGTCAGTTGTTCATCCTAACTTCTTATTCAGGAAAATGGAAGTGGGAGGTGGGAGGGAAGATTAAAGG